GTTGTGGTTTCCAACATTTATTTATTTTTCAAGTGTAGAATCTGTGGTAGAATGCTGCCGATGCCGTGCTAATTCTTGTTGTTCATAAATCCAGGTTCAAGCAAACACGATGGGTTGATTAGGATAAGTTATTTTATTTTAATCTGAACGAAAAACAACTATTTACAATTATTTACAGAAAACAGGTAACAAATTCTGAGGAACATTGCACATTTATATAAGTAAATGACACGTTCACTTTTACGCAAATAATTGTTTGATCAACAGTAATTGAACAATAAAAAACTGTTTCTCTTCAGGTTGATTTCAGGCGCACAATCGGGCCATTTGGGGAAAGAAAAAAGCGGTACAAATCAACCCTTGCAATGCGTTACGATCTCTGACTAGAAGTGAGAACTCAAGGCAAAACAAAAACTTCGACTTCGTACTCTCCGCCTCCAGTCTTGACCTACTTTTGCGATGCGTTTGGGCATTCAAACGTTCCCTTGAAAATTGGGTAGAAACAGAAGATTATCGTAAGAAAAGAAATATAATTTTAAATACAGCGGCGGCGGCAGCGGGTTGAAATGAAATTTCAACATTTCCATTTTTTTGGGAACTTCTGAAATATTGAGTTTGTCGCCTTCTAAAATGGTTATCCATTTTGTAATCGGTTGTAGGAGCTTCTCAACTTTATTTAATCGTAACCAAAAAATATCATTGTCTAAAATATTACTCTTAACATTTCTGGAAAATTTTATTTCATACGAGTCTTGGTTTACTATCAAAATCTGAAGAGCTTCTTTCGTAGATGTTAAACTACTGATGCAATGTAATATGGATCCCCACCTTGTTTTGACAGGCAATTTCAAGGCTTTTGTGCAACCGTACTTTTCGTTTTGGATTTTATTTAAAGCTGCAAGATTCACATGTGATCCATTTATTTCCTTCACAATTTCCTTACAAGAAAATTCGAAGTTTGATAGCGAAGATAGCTTCATGACATCCCCTATCAATAATCTTAACGTATGTGCCACACAGCTATATGATTTTATGTATGGAAACTGTTCCATAACAATTCTTTTGGCCTTTTCCATAGGTGACAGCATATTATTTCTTTTGATATATCACCAGTATGACCTTCAACACCAGTTGCCATTGTCTTAAACAGCACCGGGGACGGGGGTAGTGACCACAATATTGAATATTGTTTCATTTCTGATGTTTGTCCATCCATCACACTGCAGAGATACGGAACTAGCTGGATTTATTTTTTCAGAAATGGTGGGTCCTACAGTAGTATTTCCGAAAATATTCCTGAAAAATTACTGAAAATTTCACGGTAAATTAATGTGTAGAGGTTATATTCCTCAGAGCATCGTGTAATATTACGTACATTACGGTAACTTACGGAATCCTCCCTTAGTAATATTCGCCTTGCCCATCATTACGTCCAAGTATCTTTCAGAACTGTCCTTGCGACAGTAGTGCAACTCCACTGCCGGAAAAGACAAAATGTGTTCAGGTATAAACATTTCAATATCTTCGGGCAATTTATTTGAAGGTTTATGCATCCCACGTCTATCTTTATCCAGAATTTCCCTAGCACATTGCTTTTGGAGGGAACTTCTCATGAGGGCATTAGTGACATTTAATGTAGCCATGAAAAATTCTCTACACACAATGCGTTTGCTTCCCTTAATGGTAAAAGAGTAGGTGCATGTGTAGGTTTTTCTCGAATTCTTTGGCTTTTGCTCTATGTGGTTGCATAAAAATTGTCTCTGATCATCAGAACAACCTAAACTACGAAAATATCTATATATATTTAGTCGTTCCTGCTCATTAAGCAAATTTTTGCACCTGTGCTTTGCCTCTGCAAGGCATGGAACTGGTAGAAAAGGTCGTGATGATTTTTCAATTCCCTGATGCCAAACATAGGATTCCCTTTTAATTTGAAAGGTAGTTCACGTCCACACACTTGTAAAGAAACGACATTGCAGCTTTTTTGGACTCACGTAAGTATTAATCAATTGCCAACGTTTCGACACGGATGCGTGTCATCCTCAAGGCTAAAATGTATAACAAACCAGTTAACATAACTACATTTGTAATAAATTCATTACATTAATAAAGAAATATTATAACAAAACAATAATTTATTTTTTATCTGTGTATCTGTTATTTTGATTCTTTTATAACACAATTAATTGATAATAATTTACATGTTTTTAGTACTGTTTTTTCTGTTTATGTTGCACATTTGCGAAATGATAAATTCTATGTAAATGTAATGAATTTGTTACAAATGTGGTTATGTTAACTGGTTTGTTATACATTTTAGCCCTGAGGATGACACGCATCCGTGTCGAAACGTTGGCAATTGATTAATACTTACGTGAATAAAAAAAGTCCAAAAAAGCTGCAATTTCGTTTCTTTTCATTCCCTTTTAAGCCCTTTGGCTTTACGAATATTTCACTTCCATTGCTTCTCGTCCCGTTTTTTTTTTTTAGGAAGAATGTCCTGCTCGGGCTCCTGAATATTGTTGTGGCTGGGTTTTTTCATTCGATGGGCGAGTCTTTCAGAGTCAGTCTCCAAAGAAGTTGCAGAGCTCGTTCCTGAATACCTTGACGAGGGCTCGTAATTAGCAGATGAGGGACTGGGGTAATCTAAATCTTCTAATACGTCCGGTTTGACCTTCGCGCGATGTTGCATTTTTTGTGAAATTTTCGTTTCAGGTATATTTTGTCCCAAGTTATGACAATGTCCCAAATATGGCACAATGACTTTATGTGGTGGTTTGCCCGACTTCTGGTATTTTTGGACTTTATCCACTGTTAATAATAGTTGTTGCTGAATTGCTCCGTTGCCATTCGTGATGACTTGCTCCGTTGCCATTGTTCTTATCTCAAACGTTTTCAGTCATTATACCTCTGCCAGGGTTGCTACGTCCTCCTGCAGCAGTCTCACCCTCAGCTCTTCAGAACGGATGCCACAAATTATCATGTCTTTCACCAGGCTCTCTCGTAGGTCACCAAATTCGCATGACAATGATAGATTCTTCATTTTTGTGATGTATTGTTCGATCGTGTGCCATTCCGTTTGTTTGCAGGTCGGAAACTTATGTCGTTCATAGGCCTAATTTTTTCTGGGTGTAAAATGGTTGTCAAATTTCTCATATAAAACCTTTATTTTGCCCTTCGTTCAGTGATGGTATATTAGGGAATTTCTTCCTAGATTTAGGGACATTACGAGCAATTAGGGAAAAAGGGAAATTTATGCCAGATTTAGGGATTTTTCAATTTATATTCCCGTAATATTTTAGCACAAAATGTAAAATAATTTAGCATTTTTTATACATATTATGCTTTTTATCTATATAAAATAACAATATCATAAAAATAGCTCTTGCTTTTGCAACGCGAAGTTTCCACGTCTTCGTCAGTCAACTAGACTGAATGTTGCACAATCGTGCCGAATTAAAACGCGAGGCTCAATTAAGAACTATAAAATGGAATTTTCTTTTTCTTCTAGGAAAATATCCTGAAAAGGACTTCAGTCGGGTATTTTTGTCTTTAATGAAAAGTACCTACTAGGACACCAACCTCCAATTCGAAGATTGATGCAGGTTTCCCTTTCGACGAAGTATGGTTTTCCGAAAACCTGATTTCGCTTCCGAAGGATAATTCGTTGGCTCTCTCGCTTCTTGCTTCATGCCCGAAGGCAGCTCGAGCTCGCACTAACAATACCCTGCGAGCTCGTCAACTGGCCGCCTAAAGCGATCTCGATAGCTAGGGGACCCACGCAAAGTATTGTTGGCCAAATACGCGCTCCAAGTGCAGGGTAAGCAAGCCACCACACTTCTGTCGAGAAAAATGAGGGGAGAGCTCTTCTTTATCTTTGGGGCAGACTCGATCACTCTCTTTGGGATCATCATTGTATTTGTGGCTTAGTATAATATTATTAGCTTTTTTAACTAATTAGTGTTTGCTATAAGCTACTTTGTTTGGGATGGGATTACCATAGGTTTATGTTAGGCTTGTGATTGGGGCTAGGAATTGGGAAGTGGGCGGGTGGAAGGGGCTGTATTTTTACGTTAAATTAATGAAATCCCTTGGATACTTGATTCACCAAGTGGTAGAATTGAGTTAACTCTTCGTCGAGGTGGTGGTATATAGTGTTCAGCACGGTATTTCTTGGATTCCAACTCCCTACATTCGGACTCCAATTCTTTAATAGTATCCACCAATGAAAGCTGCGAAGTGTAAAAGGGCGCCAAATTTCTAGTAATAATCTCTAGCTGAGCATCCTCAGGTACACCCCCGTATCTCCGAAACAATGCACTCATGTCAGACAAATAGGCAACAATTCCCTCGTTCGAGTTCTGCGTTCGATCCAAAATTTCACGGAATAATCTGGAACCGGTGTTCTTTCAAAAGATTTGGAAAATCGGGAACGATATGCCCTAAACCAGTTGAGGGCTTCGCCAGAAAACAGCTCAATGGCTGAATCAAACAAATCGGCTTCAGCGACCCGTCGCGCAACTCTAAGCTCATCCACTCTTTCAAGAAAAGCATGTACCGACATGACTTCCAAATCCCCTGTGAACTTCAATCCCCATTTCTGGAGAGATTCAATCTTGTGAGCTGGTATGGCGACAACAGCTGCAGGTTGGGAAGTAGGCGGGTGTTGCTTGAATGGCGTAGAAACAGAAGGGAGCACCTATATTAGTATTCATCAAGGCGCTGATATTGAGGTCCTGAGTGCATAGAGTTTCCAGGCTATTTTTTGAATCAGGTAATATCCAGCTTAGGATTATATCAGCCCTTTCTTTTGTTGCCTTTTTATTAAAAGGTTGAACTGTTGTTTTTTTCTTCCTTCGTTTTAGAAGTCCAATGACAGTTATATCACTGCTAGCTGGACGCCTTCTTTTTTTGCATACAGGAACTGTAATTTTGGCTAATTGTAAATTAGTGTCAGCTTTCGAATTTTCAACAATAACATTATTGAAATCAATATTTTGTTAAACACTGTTTTCATTAAGGTTCTCATCTTCAGTCAATTCATTAATAATACTGATGTGGTCATTATTTTGCTCATCATCATTTGCATTTTGAGCCAGTTCATTAATATAACCAATATTATTATTCTCTCCATCAGTGTTTTCATCGTGATCGTGAGCCAATTCAATAAAAATTCTAAACTGCCCACTTTGTAACCTCGTGATTAACTTATCTAAAGCTTTGTTGATATCGTTATAATGTATACCACAAACATCAGAAGCCAAAGTAGCTAATAGTTTGGCCTTTACAAAGGTTTTCCTATATTTTTCTTGACATGTTAAGGGACGGCGCTTATTTTCTGTTAATAAAACATCAATGCTCAGATTGATTTCACTGGGAGCAGGATTTTCGGTAATCAGTGCGGTTTAATGTAAAAATGTACAATGTTTTAAAAAATATGACATTTTCCACCGATCCAATACCAAATCACAATCAAAAAGATTTTCCTTGAAGTGCTTCCTGATAACAGATATGTGTTTACATGGCAAACCCATGGAATTGAAGAAATGACAGTCACATGAGGTATTTGAACTGTTCAACTGCTTGCCTCTACTTTCTTTCACGGTAAAATTGATTATTGTGTTCATCAATTGAAAATTGTACTGAATTAAAGTCAAACTGAGATTTAAGTTTTTCAAAAGCATAAGGTTTTAATAATTGTAGATATTTACACTGAAATTCTGTATCTTTATAATTAGTGCTTATTCTCCGTTTTAGTAAATCATTGGCAGTACGAGTATTCTTCTCATTTTCCAAAGATTTATGAACTACAGCTAACTTCTCAATAAATTTTTCCAATGAACTATATTTGTCAATCACTGATTTCAATTTAGCATTTATTCCTTCTAGGCGGTTATTAGCAATGTTCATAAAATTTGTATTTTTAATCCCGATGAAGGGGTACCATTCTTCCTTAATATTCACTCAATTATCATTTAAATAATTAGCAACTCTTTCATTTTGTCTCTTGATTTTTTCGAAAATTTCTTCAAATTCTTCTTCAGATTTGGAATAAACCAGCTTTTGAAGCAATTCAAGAATTATTTCTTTAATGCTTGATGCAAATTTGAACTTCTCACAAGTGATTTCTCCCCGAAAAACTTGTGAAACGTGGAATACACAAATATGTAGTGTTGCATCTGAGAAACATATCCTTAACACTAATTTGCCGGCTTGTATACAATGGGTTGACAGAAGGAGAAGGTTAATTGCGGCTAGTATGCCAAATCGTCCCGTATGCCAACCCAGGCACATTATTCTCCTAGTCTTAAAATGGGAATTACGACATCTTGTCTGCTTTTCTTGAGTAACAACCTTGTGATTCATGTTATCATAGCGAATAGAAGCATTTTCCCTCTGAGACGGTCTTCCGGTGCCGATGCCACTGGTTACTTCTCTATTTTGTTGTGAAAGTGCCTTTGCAATTTCTCGTCCAAACGCAACTTGATCGAGGTCGCCTTTACCAAGTCGGTGGCGTTGCCATGCGTTATGTATGCCAAATCCATACATTGAGCCATGAGTGGAAAGTAATAGAAGTCCTATAAAGACTTACATTTTCATCACACCTGTCAACGCCTCCAGTGTTGTTAACTGCGGATCAACTATTATAGTACAGAACGCCAGTGGCGCACCCAGGTTTTTTATTTGGGGGGGGGGGGGTGTTTCATAATGATGAAGCCACCCGAAATATTAAAATAACTTTTTTTTAAGAAACATTTATTCAACCCTTTGTGAGACCCCAAATTCAGAAACTTGTATGATGTTGAATTGGCGAGCGACGGCTTTTGTTTCTGAGTGGAGACACAGATTGATATGGGTCCTATTTGCGGGTGTGAGAGTAAAACACAACTGTGGACTATTATTTTAATATGATTTTATTTAAAATAAATTTATCAGGCGTCGCATAGAGGTCATTTTACCTGTTTTAGGTGGTAATAAATCTGAAGTCTGATATATACCATTTTAAAGTTTAATAATTTAATTCATTTAAATATTTTCACGTCTAACACAAAAATGAGAGTTTTATTACAACATAAAGGTATTCTGGACAGGGTGCTGGCCAATGACATCAAAACACAGATAGACGGATCATCCCATTCATAAACTTATATTTGTTGTGTTGACAAGACCACCCATGGGCCAGGGGAGGTGAGTTGCTCGCGGGATCGGGGTGGGGAGACATCATTGCTCAAAATGGTGTAAAAAACCCCGCCTACACCTGAATATATCTCAAAATTCAATTGGATGAATAAATAAAATAAAAAATTGACAAATAAACTGAAAATATTCGATACGAGCCCTTTATTCTAGGAGTACCAATATCGTATTGGTCGTTTCTTGTTTAACGCTAATGAATAATCCCTGTTTGCGATAAAGATAGCTAGCTACTCCAACCGATACCTGCCTGCCATTCAACAAGCCGCTTCTGGGCGGTGTTTTGCTACAATCTGCTGTTGCCAAATTGAGTTCAGAAATAAAATTGAAAACGTTAATTAGAAAAGGAGAAAAATATATTATTTAGGGATTCAAGACAAAATTTGGCATTCTCAGTGGTGGGGATAGCACAAAGACCCAAAAGAGACAGAGAGATGTTGTCATACGAAAATTTTGTTTATTGTTCGGTCTATCTGTGTTTTGATATCATTGGTGCTGGCATAAAAAATGCATATTTCAACATAAAAATATTCTCCAAAATTGTTCCTTTAAAAGCAATAATGAAATATATATGCCCATTCTGTACAACAAAATAGTATATTCTTGTATTAGTAGTAGAAGCTTTACTTTTTTGTGCTGAAGCAGTGGGTTTGCGAGCCGAACGTAGTGAGGCTTGCAATACTGCTGAAGCACAAAAAAGTAAAGCTTCTACTGCGTATGCAACACGCTATTTTTTCTCCAAACGAATGGGGTAAGCTCGGGGGTAACTGAATGGTTAAGCGGCAGTAAAAGTACGAGCGGCACTAAAAGTACTTTTGCTGCCGCTCCAGCGGCACTAAAAGTACTTCTACTGCCGCTGCGGTTGCCTAGCAGCATAGAAATTAAATTTCTACCACCTCGACAGGTGTTAACCCGCTGGAATTGCCTACCAGCATAGAAATTAAATTTCTAACATCTTGACAGGTGCTGACAAAGTGACGTTTTTTAGACGTTTGGAGAAAAAAATACTTTTGACACCCTATTGTTCGCTGCCGTCACTATCGGAAATGTCACTATCATGGTGTTCTGAGGCTGATAGTTCTGCTAAATTTGGCTGTTGAAGTAAATTGAGAACTTCTTCAGTCAGTGGTTCTTTATTTGAACGTGCACCTATACATTGAGACAACGATGGTACGTATGGATCCGAAGGCAATAATTGCCGACAAAATACATGACTCATTGTTTTTTCCCGTGAAAATTTTCTTGAATATGATTCCCGATACCTTCTAAAATCTTTATTCCGGGAATCAAGTGCCTCTTCTGAGAACATTCCGATAGGGAGAGGTGCTGCTTTTATAGTTTTCGGCCCATGAATTGTAATGCGCTTTTGTTGCGTAATCAACACGGGTTCAGTGTAATTCAGTTTATCTAACGGTTTGCCTCGGGCGCCACCCTCAGGATTAAAGTGGTTGAGGGCCCACGTGCACCAGGTAGCTTGTTACAAAAGAAATAGACAACAGTCGATAAATTTAAATAAATATAACCCTCTATATTGCCGGAAAATATTTACAGGAAAAACCCTTAATTAACCCTATGAAAGAATGAACGGGGATGCGTGAGAGAGAGATGATTAAATGGGTGGAAAATTATGTGCGTGCGGTAAAAGCGTGACCATGCGGGCAGTGAAAAGCGTGTCCGGAAAAAGTTAACGGCAGCGATAACGGAACGGTCAGCCTTCCGATAGCTCTAAGAGTTCCGGTAACGTTAACGCTAACGGCAAGTGTTAAATAGCAATAAAGCGGTAAAACAAACTCCGGTGACCCAAGCAAATGTACGGACACCACCTGCAACTACATAAGCGTCAGTTCTCGAATCATATATTTAACGGATTAGAGATATCATATAAGCTTCGGAGAAAAATACCTGTCCTAGGTTCCAGGCGAAAATTTCTCATACAGAACTACCCGTCCAGGGTACCGGGCGAAGTTCTGAGAGCAATAGAGACTTACCCCTATTGCAGGAAAAGATTTGCCCGTCCAAGGTTCCGAGCGAAAATCTTTTAGTGAAGCTTATATAATTGATTTTTACCTTCTGGTTTAATTCGCGGCCCTACAAGAACTGACCCCTATTATTGTGGTTACGGCGGGTTGACTTACCTCGGGCGGTTCAGGTGGTGATGTTGGATGTTGCTAATACTGCTGTCAGGTCGACTAGCTTTTCGGAAACCGTTGGAAGACTGTCTTTTAGCAGCAAATTCTGTCCAATTTATAGCCAAAATATGGGACAGGGACTTGGCGGAGTAAACGGAAATATGCAAATTAGCTGATACCGACCGAAATTCCTGCCGGGATTTGTAGATTCCAGCCGAGGTCATGCGAAATCATGATAATGTATTTAATATTTACGAATAATATAAAGAGGATTTTAATTAATACCGCCGTGAATTTATAAAATTAAGTCACGCAATTAATAATATAAGTCGAAGCGGGAGGCGTACTTATTTTATGAAAAATACTGAAACTTTGTTACACAATGTGTATCTGTGCAAACTTGAAGGCATGTAATACCATGGATAACGTTCAACAAACAATTTGGCTGTTGCCATGCAATACTGGCTAAACGCGTCCACCTCTATTTCATACCCGGAACACATTGCTGTCAATATGACGTATAATCGCTTCAACAATTTTTCGTCAACCTCTGTTATTGCAGAAGCAACAGAATATCTCCGAAAAAACCTTCTGGCGGTATTTCCGTCGTTGGTGGTGCCATAACCCTGTTTTGGAATATCGACCAGCAAATTCAACTCTTCTTTTATTTTTCGTATAATCTCCTGTTTTCTTTGTTTTACGATATTTTTCTCATTATCTTCGCGTATCTGCCACTTTTTTATTGTTATTTTATAGGAGATATGTAGGCAGCACTCTAAACATCTTATCCAGGCATAAAGTGTTGAGATGCCGCAGTCGTATAAAGTTTCATTTGGTGTAAGATCCAATATACTTTCTAAGTTATTCATAACTTTAGGGGTTGCACTGCGTATAACACTTGTCTGCGTTGAAGACTCACTAACTGCGCTGAACAGCTTCCCATCTATCATGGTCATTTTGAAAGTATGGTAAATTTGTATTTGGTATTTCTGAATATTAGTTGGTTCTATTTCCGCTATTTGTTGTTTAATATTTGTTACCACTTGTTTTGTTAATTCGGGCGTTTCCTTCTCAAAAATTAGTTTTACTGGTCGGCAAAATCTAGTAGAAGATGTACGATTATTTTGCCAAAGTATGGTACCGTTCTCTACAGTCATTTGCAGCGGAACTAGACAGACCGAAAATAAATTAAAATCCGTTTTCGATGATTCCGGATCACCACTAAACTGCTGCTTGTAGGTATAATGGGCCGAACTGCCGTCGCATCCCCATTTATGTATAAAAGAAATTTTTTTATCTTTGATACTCGGCAAAACACTATCGAAAACTTCTATTTGTGACTCAATAATCCTGTGTGTTGTATGATTGACAAGCGCTTGCAGTTCTACCTCTGCAGATATATCTGTAATTGCGATAAATTCTGCATCTGGATAGCATTTTTTTTTTGCTTGAAAGATACAGTTATAATTTGGGTATATGTTTGCATTCCTTTGCTTCGCACCTTGTTGCATTAAAATGTAAGATTTTTTTGTGAAAGCTGAATAAATGGAAAGAGCAAGAAGACCTCGGTGCAAGAACTGGGCAACTCCACTTTTTTAACATGTTGGGAAATCAAAAAAAAACATAATATTTTCGAGAAATTTAGAAAAAATTATGCTTAATGGTATGAGTTCTCTAGAGTATTATGAGATAAACTTTATTTACCTAGATACTGCTTTCCATTCACATTGTAGATGCTAAAAAAGGAGTTTGAAAAAATGGAGATGCCTGTTTCTTGCCCCGAAAAGCCAAAATTTTGAAAATAGAGTCAAAACACATGTAATAATTTTGCATTTTTTTATTGAAAATGAAATATGACACTAAAAATATTGTACACAAATAATATATTAAACATAGGAAGAATCACTGACGTTTCCGGCTTCTTGATCTTCGTTAAGTTCGCCAGAATTTGGATCCTCATCGTCAAAGGTAATGTTTTCAAACATGCGGTTATTAGTCCAAGAAACGGGGATCTGAAAAGAGGGTCTACCTCAACATAATTAAAAGTTGAAATTTTTTTGGGGGGATCGGTCCATTTTAATATGCTAAACAACATATTAAGTTTGCGACCTTGTACTTCCATAGGGTTTTCAGTTAGGGGTGGTTTTTAGGGGTAATTTGCGGTTTATGGAGAACGCTGCTCAAAGGGATGAATCAATAGCAAAAAGTTTCAAATGAATGTTGTAGCTGAAGTTTTTTGCTATAAAAAACTCAGCGACAGCACCCCTCTATCTTCTATAGTTTTTTTTCTGCAGCCTCCTGAATAGTAGCATGTTTTTGTTCAAGATCACTGAATCAACGTTTTGCCATTTTGCGCTCATTTGTTGCAGCAGCGTCCGAATGCATAATCCGATTTCAATTTTTCAAACACCACATTATTGCTAATGAAATGCACTCTCCAATGCTTTTTTGTTCGAATTTTTTGCTTGAAAATTAAGCGAGCACGGACTTGTCTAATGTGCGAGGAAGTTGTAAATTACATCGTAAACTACCCCTTTCTTTCATTCACTGTAATTTTTAAACGGGGCCAAATATTTGGTGACAGTTTTCGACAATCGGCAGCCCATTTATTCCTCTCATAATGCCCCAGCGGATTTTTTTTTCCATTAATTACTTAATGACTTATTGGTCTGAAAACGTCGCGCGGGATTTTTCAAAAAGTGAAAAAAAAATAAAATTGTCGCATAGCGCTGAAATTTGGTACGATGGCCTTATTTATTGTTCTTACGAATATACTGCAATTTCAATTGCTTCACATGATATAAAATTGCAGTATATTCATGAGAACAATAAATGAAGCCATCGTACCAAATTTCAGCGCTTTGCGACAATTTTAATTTTTTTTTACTTTTTGAAAAACCCGCGCGACGTTTTCAGGCCAATAAGTCATTAAGTAATTAACGAAAAAAAAAATCCGCTAGGCATTATGACAGGAATAAATGGGCTGCCGATCGTCGAAAACTTTCACCTAATATTTGGCCCCGTTTAGAAATTAGAGTGAATGCAAGAGAGGGGTAGTTTTCGATGCAATTTACAACTTCTTTGCACATTAGACAAGTCCGTGCTCGCTTAATTTTCAAGCAAAAAATTCGAACAAAAAAGCATTGGAGACTGCTTTTCATTAGCAATTATGTGGTGTTTGAACAATTGAAATCGGATTATGCATTCGGCCGCTGCTGCAACAAATGCGCGCAAAATAGCAAAACGTTGATTCAGTGACCTTGAACAAAAACATGCTACTATTCAAGCCGCTGCAGAAAAAAAACTATAGAAGATAGAGGGGTGCTGTCGCTGAGTTTTTTATAGCAAAAAACTTCAGCTACAACATTCATCTGAAATTTTTTGATATTGAACCATCCCTTGGAGCAGCGTTCTCCATAAACCGCAAATTACCCCTACAAACCACCCCTAACTAAAAACCCTATGGAAGTACAAGGTCGCAAAGTTAATATGTTATTAAGCACATGAAAATGAACCGAACCCCCCCAAAAAATGTTAACTTCTAATTATGTTGAGGTAAACTTCCTTCATTGCTTGGCCTATATAGTAACCTTGATCATTTAAGGGTAGGGGAGAGGGCCCTAAGATGACGATCTTAAGGTTTGCGTTCCAGTTAACGCTCTATTTTTTGACCAGTAAAAGTTTTTCAATGCCAGGCATATAATATTTAAGTGACTAATAAATATTTGAATCAGTTTTAATTTTAATTTTCACTTTGTGAGTGGTAATTTTTTTTTTTGAAAAAAATGTAATTATCGTCATCTTACCCGCTTTTGCTGACAAGATGACGAACGTATGTGGGTAAGTTGACGAATATGGTAAAAAGGCAATAGAACAATACATTTAAACGTTGTAATGATTTATTTTTCAAAAATAAACAAGAACTAAAAGCAAGGAATTTCGAAAGTATTCAAAATGACCAGAAGCAAACAGAAAAAAATTCAAATTATGACCTAACTTTGATCACGACAAAAATCACACACCCACACTTTGGCTTTTGCTTCTTTCAAATCAAGTCCAGTGCATTCTGCGTGTGCCCACTTGGAGCATGCACTACAACAAAACCAAAGCTCATTATGTTTGCCCTCATCTTCACAAAATATGCACAGCCTGTCATATTCTTCAACCTCTTCGTCCATGTCGTCATTACTATCCACCACAGCTACATCTATGGAACTATCAGATGAATTAGAGACTCAAACACTTGGCGCTTTACACTTCTGATTTTATTTTGTTTATTTGCTTTACTATTTTTTTCTTGAACCGATTGGCTGCTGTTTTTTTTTATTTTTTTCTTCGGCGGGCCTTTCATTTGTTTTTTCTTTTCTTTTTCAAGTTTTACATTGTGCTTCTGTTCTAAAGCATCTTTAACGGGCGTGCTAGAAATTATAAGTGATGGTAGACTTTTCCTGGAACGTTTGTTCTGCCTGTTTGCTTTAGGCAAAGGAGGTAATCCTAACCGGATTGTCTGGCTCTGGCAGTCTTTATCAGGAGTTTTTAATGTCTTTTCAATATGAGCTGCCTTCATCTGCTCTTTGTTGGGAGTTAATGACTCTGGCATACGCTGAAGTCCAGATGTGGAAGGCACAGGTTCAGTGCTTGCTGTATAATTTAAAAGACTCTGTTCCGATGGCAATCTCCCAGTTTGATTATTTTCCTCAATTGATATTGGTTCAGCGTCAAGTTCCCTTTCTGTCGTTTGTGCAGTTTCAAAGTCAATATCAGTGAAAATGTCGGAATCAAACGGCTCTATGCCAGTTGCCCGGAATCCGCTTATAGCATTCGCGACGGTTGCTACTTTTAGGTAAGCCTTTCCAAAGATTGCCGCAATGTCACTCAGTGTAATAGCTTTTCCAGGATTGTTGGTCAAAAAGTCATCACAAGCCCTACTATACGCTGTTTTTAAGGGTCCATACACAGACACATCCAATGGTTGCATTCTGTGACTGGTGTGTGCGGGAAATCCCAAGAGAGAAATATAATTCTCCCTGCACAATGTTACAGCTTCAAACGTAACATGGCTAGCATGGTTATCCATTATTAGCAGAACTCTGTTGTTTTCGCTAGGACGAGCGTATTGAATAAAATGTTCCAGGTATTTTAAAAAAATTGCAGATGTCATCCATCCGGTTTCATGTGCAACACCTACAAATCCAGCAGGTGTGTTGCTCATATAGGCTGGTTGCATTCTAACTCTAGGGAAAATCATAAAAGGGGGAATAAATGTCCCACTTGCATTCATCGCGCATACAGCAGTCACATTAGTTCCTCGTTCCGCAGAAGATATCTTAATTACTCTTCGCTTGCCTTTTGGGGTAATTATCCTGGGATTTTTTGTGGCAACTGTTGATACACCGGTTTCATCTACGTTGTAAATTTGATTGGGTTGGAAATTATATTTTTCTTTGAGTTCCTTTAGGGCGTTGAAGAAATTGGAAACACTTTGGCGATTAAATCCCATTAGTCTAGCTATCGAGGTCGATTCTGGCTTTCGTAGGGAAAATTCGTATTTCCGCATAAACCATTCAACAAAGTGTCGTCCAGCTTTCTTCTTGTTTGTGTTAAACCTGTGTGAAATGTGACGTTTTTCCGCAAAATCATAAATTATCCTGCTGAATTGCTCCTTGGTTAGTCCAAATGCCCGATTGTCTATATTGATAATGTAATCTCGTAGTTCTTCTAATTCCTCATCAGAAAACGTGCTCTTGAATCGACCAGCATTGCAAGGAAATTCCTGAAAATAAAGACCAATAATTGTTTTTAACAATACATTATTTTAGGAGAGATTTCAACCGTACTTCCTCAGGATCCCTCTTCAGATATCTTCTAAGAGTTGGTTCCGGTATTTTATATGCTATTGCCATGGCATTTACGCGTTTGTTGTTTTGTCTAACCTCATTTATGGCAATTCGCATGTTCTCTTTACTCCATGATTGTCGTGTCGTTTTGCGCTTGTACACTCTTCCCATAATTTATGATCTAAAATTGCGTGTAAATAATTTACCAGCCAACAAACATCATATTATATGTAAGTGGGTAAGATGACGAATTCGTCATCTTAGCTACTATGTTTTTCGTCAACTTAACCCCATCACAGTTGAAATTTTGAAAAATTAAAGCAAACAAAAAACATGAATTTATTGTTTGTGAAAATATCACATATGATACCAAACAGACTCATAAACATTCAGCAAAAAAAGTTTTAAGTTTGAACTTACCTAGAAAAATGCAGACGTTATTTTCTTAGCCACTAAAATTATAACGAAGTACGACCGTGCACCTTATTTACCTGCTACCGACAAACTAACCGTTTAAAGGCTGAAATGGAAGAAACCCCGTAAGGAGCACGCGCAAAGCGACCGTTTCACACAATAATGGCCGCGCAGAGAGATACGGTATGTTTTATAGCCGATTCGTCATCTTACCTACTTCGTCATCTTTGGGCCCTCTCCCCTACATACTTTTGTACCAGATCTTTTAGATCCTTTATTTTTTTAGGGTTTATTTCCAAAGGTGTGAAGTATGCTCTATTATTCGGCATTGAGAGTGGGATATTTTCTTTTTCGTTAATAGAAAATTTTGTAAAATTTAGTAAACTCGTACTTACAGAACATTCAATAAACTTGTTATTCTTGGTGTACCTCATACTCCTATAAGTTGATATAGCAAATTTTTCCTTTTTTGGTCCTTTAGGGGCAGATTTAATAAGTTGTTTAAAAGGGTCTGAAAAGTTTAGTATCATGTCTTGTTCTACAGGAACTACCCTAAAATTTTTCGTAGTTTCTTGTACTAATTTTATCCATTCCGACGGTAGGTATATTCTTTCCTTCTTCCTTTTATTCTTTTCTATAAGTCCAAATGACCTATCGCATGGTAGAAAACTGTGTCCTGGTTCCGGATATTGGTGAAGTATTTCACTTATTTTGCCATTTTTATTTACCATAGTGAATAAATATTTCATCAAAGTTTGATTTTTGTTTTGTGCAAACGCATTGTCCGAAAAAAGGTAGAGCTTATTTACCGATGCAGGCAGATATGTTTGTATGTAATGATGAAGAAAGGAAATAACTTCATCACTTCCTTTCTTAGCGGTATGCTCATCATACATGTAAAAGGTTGAGGTACCCATTTTTCCTGAATGAATGCAAAAATTATATTCCCAAAGTTGTCTTTTGTAAAACACGTCTTCTGCTGGTACATGGGGTAGCGGCAAATTCTGCTGGAAGTCAAAGCATAATACTTCCGTGGTCTAATCTTCTTTACTGAGAGCCGTGACTTCTTTTAATTTTCTGTAAAACATTTCGGATTTACGAATATGGAGTTCTTTTTCAGTCTGAAGGGCTTTTTTACTCTCAGGATCTAGCTCGGCAAGCATAAGATTTTGTAGTCTGTCGCAGGTGTGACATGTGTCTGACCTTGGCGATCCAAAACTAATGTTCTGGTTCAATACAAAACTGCGATTGTAGAAGTCGTACGTAACTTTTGGTTTAGCGTCTTCCCCCCTCTGGAGTGCCTGGAAAACTTCATTTTCATACTTCTCCAAATACAGCCTATGCATCTTGAAGATATTTAATTCTGCAGGCAAAAAAAACTTGCGATCATTTTTGTCCCGGCTATAATGAGAACTCGTTCTTGGGAAGCTGTTTATATGATTTTCTATGTTTTGTAATATTTCCTCTGGCATCTTATTATGGCGATTCATGTGTTTTCCTCTCATATCAGGTGGCGCGGCTATTCCAGTCTACAGTGAAGAGGCAAGACGATCAACACGATGCTTAGTTACGCCATGAATACCATAAAAGGCCTTTTTGCAGACTTGATGTTCAGTTAATCCAAAGCGGATCTATAACAAAAACATAGAGATAAAAAACTAATAAGATTAATAAAAATTACCGAATAAGATATACCGTCAACTGGGGCTTCTTTGATCAAAAAAATTTGAATTTTTGCTTGTAGCTAGGTAACCAGTTGAGATATTTGGAAACAAAAAAAAAGGAAATGTTGGGCAGTTATATGACTAATCGAAACACTTATTAAAAATTTCCTAAACTCACACGAAAATAGGAAAAAAAAATAGAATAGGCCTGATCAAAATTTTACTTCATTTGGGGCAACTTTGATCACGCTTCAGTTTTGCCCGTAAAATCAATGAAACCCCATTCAAATAAAATCTAAATAAAAAAAATTAAATTTATTTCGATAATTCACTAATAAAATAACATATTTTCATTTGGGTCAACTTTGATCATGCGTTAGTTTGCCCGTACGATCAAAGAAACCCCATTCAAATAAAATCTAAATAAAAAAAAAAATTAAAAAAAAACACCAGAAATTAAGAAATAAATACGCTTTTGCTTTAATCAAGTTTGGTTTTTATTACGAAAACATAAAACTAACAGAAAAAAATATATATTTTCTATCTAAAGGTTGAACAAAAGTAAAACAAAACGAAAAACAAATTACTAAACAAACTTAAACCAAATAATATTTGCTGTCTGTGCTCCAGACACGAAAACAGAAAAATTGTAATTTCTAGGAAAACGGACGTGATGAGAAAGTAGCACTTTAGACCTCTACAAAACTTTCAAACGCCTTGAAAACATATTGCCCCCTATGATGTTCTGAGGGTTCTCGGGATCCTATAATTTCAGATCTCTGAACGAAACTTTCATCCAAAATGTCAGGAAAAACAAAAAAATTGTTCTTTTTACCTTTTTTAAATCTCAGAAAACTGACATTAAAAATATCGTCACCTAATATTATTTCTGTTATTTTGCCTACAAAGTATTTATCGACATTTGTATTGATAGTTCTCATTTTAACTAAGACAAACGGTCCAATTTTCAATTCTGTACTTTCCAAATTTTCGGTCGATTTAGTGTTGCAGTTTTCGTTTTCCTTTTCTTCTTCGTTGAATTGTTCTCTTCCTTGTTCGTCATCTTCATCGTGAATAGCTTCATCCTCTGTTTCATTTTGCATGGTTCCTTCTTCGAACATTTCTGAGTCTGCTGTAACGTGCGTTACGCTTTTGCCAGGAACGACTTTTACCATTTTCTTTTTTTGCCTTGTTGAGGTACTTGGACCCCCACCAAACCTCTGCTCTTTTAAGAAATCAATTAGTGTATTGCCTATGTCACCTTCATTTTCTTGAACATATCCCGGAATTTTTGATAAGACCCTCTGAGGATCCTACGGGAAAACTCCAGTTGCGGCAAATCCACTAATTAGGATTCTTTTTATTGCATGGCCTTCACCCACGTTATCCATTGCAGATAAAGCTTGTTGAAGAAGGCTGGGAAATTCTTCTTTAGGCAAGCCACCTATCTTTGGGTTTTTTGTTTTCCAAGCTCCTAATATTTTTCGCCAAGCTATTTTCATCGGCCTGAAAAAACAGACATCAAGAGCCTGTGTAAGGTGAGTGGAATGGGGAACCAAACACACAAAAGCGATATTATTTTTTTCGCAACACTTAAGAACATCGTCCGTGAAATGTGCGGCCAAATTGTCCCCAATGATAACTTTTTTTCCATCTAGTTTTTTTGCATGTGGTAAGAAACAGGTCATAAACCAATCCGTAAAACTTGATCCCTCTATCCAGCCATGATTCGTTCTATTATATCGCGAACCACCACTGCAACACCTATCTTCGCAACAAGGACTACCTTTTGGACCATTTTCTGTCCAAGTATTCCACATCTTTGTGGATCTGTATATTATGTATGGCGGAAGTAGTACACCTGAAGCCGATCCACATATCATAATTGTCGTAGCAGATTTGGTAAAGTTACAGATTTGTTCGGGGTACTTTACACCTCGTCTATAAATTTTAAATTTTTTTCCAGGATCGTCCGCCATATTTGTTTCATCATAATTGAATAAATGCGATGGAGGGACATTTTCTATTGTTGCTTTCAAATTATTGAAATATTCTTTCAACGACGCTTCGCTGACTGTAGCTCTAGCTCTTTTAATGTTTGCAGCGACCCTTTTACAAATGTCAGATTTGTTTCTAATTAAGAGGCCATCCACCCAATCTATACCAGGCTTATTTTCCGTTAGATAAGGTATTATCTTGCCCTGCTTGTCAAGATAGTTTTTGGCTAAGAACTGCATGTCTTCTTTGGACAAGGGATATCCCCAGTCGCCACAGGTAGCGGCGCTTTTGACGAGTTGAAGTTCTTCTTGTGGAGTGAATAATGTGGGACGTCCTACTGAACGAATGTGGAGCCCTTTGTACCTGTTGTACAAAGTCCCAAATGGAATCCCATATTGTACTGACGCTTTCCGTATACTAAAATTATCTTCTGTTACTTTTCCTAATGCTTCTTCGACAACTTCCTCTTTATAGTCTTTATATTTTCTGACACCCAAAGTTCTCTGGTATTTTCGGACCATATTTCTGCAAGATAAAAATAATATTCAAGTATGTAGGTACCTGCATTACTATTACCATATTGGGCAACTTTGATCATGATCAAAGTTGCCCCATAAAAGGCGATCAAAGTTGCCCCACGAAGGATTTTAATAAATGAAGGGTCTAATATTATTTTGAGAAAAATCTAAAAATGATATTTCTGTTCTCAGGTTGATAGGTTTCCATGTAAAATAATAAAAATTGATCCATGATAAAATAGTGAAGCTGTGTATATGAAATTTCAGAAGCTTTTTAAAATAAACAAACGTTAAAAGTAAACTTTCCTACCTTGTAGTACGGAGACCGCGGCAAATCGCACCACCATAACCACACTCTCGCAAAGGATTGACACTTGAAAAACATATGACCTGTTGAGACGCGCCAAGAAATTTGCGCTTGCGTAGTAATACAAGAAAATAATAGTTGAGACATGGGTTATCAAAATTGCCCCACAATTATCAAAGAAGCCCCAGTTAACGGTACCTTGTAATAAAACGGAACCTCCTTTGCATTTCTTTATCCTGTTGTTGGTCGATTTTTTTCCACTGGTTTTAAAGAAATCAATCCACCCAAATATAAGTCTTGCTTCTCTTTCGTTCCTAGTTCGTTAAAAGAAGTGAGAATAGACATTCTTTGTGCCTCATTATTGATGTCAAAACATTTGAGCCGGCAAGTACAAGACGCTCCCACTGTTCTTTTAGGTATAACCTTTTTCACTGAATTTACATGCTCTTCACCACGGGCTTTCAACTTTTTCCTTACATTTCTTTGCCAGCCACTTTCATTTCTTACTCGTTTTCTACCTCTTTTTTCTCTCGTCGTCGCCCCATCATCCAAACTTCTGCGAACGCGCTTTTTTTTTGTCCTAGTCGGCCGTTCAACCGATGCTGTACTTGTACTGGGTTGGTCCAAATCAATTGGAACATATTCACTCCCCGAATCTTGAAAGGGCTCACTATCAGTTTCCGACGCCATTACAACGTATTGCATAAAACGATAAATCAAACTAACCACGCCGCACAAATGGGCTAATGGACGACTCGAAAAGGATCGCCGTCAATAACCCCACTCCGACAACTCCCACTACACGCATACATTTCGGTGCTAAAATCGGGTAACTCCTGGAGTTCAAGTGCTTTCTCTGGAGTGTATTTAATTGGCTCCAAAGTTGGCGTCGATATTGCTTTTTTGATTTTCGAGACTTTCTCTGGTTCTGAAAGCTCTTTAAGAATTTTCGAAGCATTTCTTTGTCCAGATGCCTTCAGACTTCTCCGTGCAGTGAACGTCAATTCTTCTGTTGAGTGCTTTTGCAAAACCGGCATAAGCTTTTGTTTTTTTCGCTGGTTGCCAAGATCCGTAAAAAGTTTGCAAGGCCTACCTCTGGATGGACCAGGTTTATCCTGGTGGTCAAAAAAAGTAATGGATGTATCTAGCCAGTCAGAGTGCTTATTTTCGAAGACCTTTCGAGTGCGATTGCAATTTTTCCACATTTTCGAAACAGAACTAGTAAAACTATTTATCTTTTCTTTTACTAAAACACTTTTGCTGGCATCATTGTCAGCTTCAAAGTGAAGCTTATTTAAAGCATAGGCCAAAACAGCAACAGCAGCATTCTTCTCTTGTACCTTTTCTCTGCACCAAACATCAAACATATCGCTTTTTCGAATTGACATGGTTACTAAAAAAAAAGTTCCTTAGATATAGGCACTTCTTGGCACCCAAATTTAATATTTACTAAAACGCTAGAAAATATGCTAACGAAAAAAAAAATTTCGACACAAACATGTGTAAACATGGAAATTTGCAGCTTTTCCTATTTGTTTTTTATAAAAAATTAGTAATTATCAGTCACAGTATTTTCTTTAATTTTTTAGAGGCTTTTACATGTATCCGAAAATAGCGATAATACAGACATAAAAAGTACTTACCCAAGCCTTTCACAGGCTGAAATCACGATTTCACAAATCGGTTCACAAGCGCCTCAATAAAGAATCGAATTTAGAGAATAAACTTCGACCATTTCAAGCAAGAACACATTTCGAATATTGGTTTCACTTTTTTGGCCAAGAAAAATGAAAATACAATAAAATTAAAAAAAAAATTGAGAAAACATTCCATCCTATGGAATGTTATCTTTAAGATAA